TGGTGCATGCCTATAATCTCAGTGGCTCAGGAGGCTGAGGCAGGAGGATCAAAAGTTCAAAGCCAGCCTCAGCAACTTACTGAGGCCCTAGGCAACTCAGAGAGACCCTGTCTCTAAATAAAATACAAAATAGGGCTGGGGATATGGCTCAGTGGTTAAGCACCCGTGGKTTCAATTCAATCCTCAATACTAAGAAAAAAAGGGAACCTATCCTATTTGTAAATATGTTCCTGAAGGRGAACTTACAACCCACCTTGGCCACCTCACATCCATTTTTTTTTTTAAGCAATTAGAGTCTTCAAAGCTTTAGAGAAGTAATTTTCCTAGTTTAACACTTTTACTGCAACAGATAAGGAGGTGAGAAGTCCACAAAGGAAGGAGAACTGCCTAATTCAGCCTGAACTTGACATCTATACTTTCTTAATTTATAAAGGCACAAAGTGATAGTCCCAGGTATGCAGAAAGAATTGCTTTAGCCCAGGAACTAAAGGCCAGCCTCAGAAACATAGCGATACCCCCATCTCAAAATCAAAAATACAAAAAAAAAAAGTACAAAGGGAATGGGACCAGCAATAATAACAGAATAAATGACATTATTCAGACACCAAATTTTTTTTCAGCGTGGCATGAACAGCACCATTAAAGAGAGGCCCTGCTGGGTGCAGCTGTGTATACCTGTAATCCCAATAGCTCAGGAGGCTGAGGCAGGAGGATCACAAGTTCAAAGCCAGCTTCAGCAACTTAGTGAAGCCCTAAACAATAGCAAGACCCCATCTCAAAATAAAAGGATTGGGGAATGGGGCTCAGTGGTAAAGTGCCTTTGGGTTCAATCCCCAGTACTGGAGGGGAAAAAAAAAAAGGGAGAGATCCCAATACCTTGCTTCCCTGAAAACCAGAAACACAAGATGCTATCCAATACTCTTGGAGCTTTATTTTGAAGTAGAATACAGTGTAAGAAAAAGAGAAAAATGTCCAGACAGATCTGAGGTCAGCTGTGCCATTTACCAAAGCCATGGCTTTGAGCAAGTCACACAGTATATGGTTGCCTTGATACCTAGGAAAATTTTATGAGATATCAATATAGTGCCAGGCACATGGTAGTCATTCTGAAAATGGCACTTGCAATTACTTTTTTTTTTTTTTTTGGCTGTATTAAGGATTAACTTATGGCCTTCTACATGTTAGACAAATTCACTACTACTGAGCATATCCCCAGCATACCTCAAACTTGTGATCCTCTTGCCTCAGCCTCCCAGGCAACCTGGATTACATGTATAATCCCACCATGCCCATCACCATGCTTGGCTTATAATTACATTCTTTTTTTTTTTTTTAAAGGTAATGTTCACTTGAATAGGAATACAGGGAGAAACGTTCCCTTTTAGGGCTTTCTGTGTATGTAAATTCTATTTTTAAATTTAGAATCTGATGGATTTTTATTTCTGTGTACTCCATTATCCCCTTAAATCCTTGGCAGAGGTTATAAAAAATATTCTAAGACTAGTAAGGTAAAGCTGGGATATACATCGAGGTAGAGGGACAAGGAGCTTAGTTTGCCTGGAAGAAGCCACTGATGTCCCTTTTCATCCTCCTCCGCTGATCAGAAACCACAGAGACTAGAACCACTTATTTGAGTAGCATTGCCCCCAGGTAAGTATGTGCTTTGCTTGGGTAAGCATGCCCTCTGAAGTACCTGTAAGCTGCTATCTCAATGTCAAGGGCCATTTTGACATTGAGCAAGTCCTGGTATTCCCGAAGGTGGCGTGCCATCTCACTCTTGGTATTCCTCAGATCATTCTCCAGCTGTCCAATGCTATCCTGAAAAGTAACATATCCAAAATATTTAGGGCACAGTTGCTGAAATTCATTGAAATTTCCTGAAGGCAAAGGATTCTCCACCCCCACTACACATTAAAGCCACCTAAGCAACGTATAAAATACTCACATACAGATGTGTCTCTCAGCTCAGATTCTGACTCATTTATTCTGGGGTGGGACTCAAGCATTTGCATTTTTTCATAGAGGCCTCCAAGAGATTCAGATGCATGGTGAGGTTTAGGAACTTCTACCCTGAGGCACATGGTACGCAGGGGACACTGAAATAATTTTTTTAAAAAAATATTTATCATCCCTCCATTGCTTGTTGTACTGGTGCTGAGTAACTCCACTATTCATTTCCTTTTCAAAACATGAAGCATCAGGTTAGGAGCTTAGATTCAGGACATTCCAACTGTGTAAACTACAGAGAGAACAGCCCTCCTTCTCTGCTACCACTCCATGCCTTTGCTGGTCTTGATGGTTTCCTGGAAGTCTGCTACTCAGTGACTACTGAAAACTCCTCAGCATGAGATCATTCTTCCTTTTGCTCCCTGGCTTTTCTTTTGTTCACTGAACATACCAAGTTCATTGCTGTTTCAGGCCCTTTAGGCCTGCAATTTCTTCTGCCTAGAGAGCCATATGTTGGATCTTTACCAACATCTTATGTAAGATTCAGCTCAAAGTTTATTTCCTTAGATAGTTCTTCCTTTGCATTCAATTTAAGTACCCTCCCTTTACCAATCCAGCACATTACCTGACCTCCAGCCAGGGTAGCTCCTAGGCCATGCAGAAACTATGGGCAAATTACAAATATGTACCTTCAAAAGGAGGACAAATTAGAAAAAACTTGAAAGCTTTTTATAGGAAATTATCTTGTTTACCAACATCAGTGGTTCTACCTATTAGATGTCAGAGGCACACACCCTCTATCCCAGTTGTGACAACCAAAAATGTAATTAACATGGTGACTGGGATCCTTTCTGTCTAGCTCACCCCTAGAAACTCAGATCCTGGCATAAATACAATGTAAATGCTCAATGAGTGATAGATGAATGAATGAATGATGCTATGTAAGTACTTTAAAAAAATTTCTGTAGTTGTAGATGAACAGAATGCCTTTATTTTATGTTTATTTTTATGCGGTACTGAGGATCSAACCCAGTTCCTCAYGCATGCTAGGCAAGTGCTCTGCCACTGAGCTACAGTCCYAACCCCATTACTTCTTTTCTTAAGACCTGAAAAAATGTGATCAAATAGGCCATTAATTCAGCTCCAACTCTGTTGACAGGAAAAACACAGTGATTTTATGCAGATAAACAAGTCAGAAACTTCAAGAAAGCCAGTATTGAAGTGGATGATGAAGCAATGATGAAGGGCAGGTCTGATCCTTCAAGGGGGTACAAACTTCCAAACCAAGAGAATTTGTAAAAAGAGTTAAAAATCCATGCTACCCACATGTTATATAACTATTAACAGGTATACTGCAAAAGAGAATCTCAACTGACTGATGGGAATAAAACAAAGATTGACAGATAAGCAGTGGGGGAAATTCAGATAACACTGGACAACGATGCAAGCAAGTCTGCTAGTGATGCATTAGGAGTAAGAATTGCTATTACTATAACAATGGAGAAAGAAGTCTAGGGCGAGGAAAAAAGGAGAAGGGGGAGGAATGAGGACATTTTTATTATGCAAAAGAGCAAGAGAAATGCATTATGAGGAAGAGAGAGGAAGATTTCAGTGGGATCTTTGGCCTACATGTTTGCCCTGGCACTAACATTCAGTGTTAGTTTTCTACATTTTAGTTTCTTCTAACCTTCCATTTCTGCACTTGGCAAATTATGAATTTTTTTTTAAATAGGGAAAATTACAGTGTTTACTCTTTTCCAAGTTGTTCCAAGAGTCAAGATTCTAGTTTAATCCATCTTACATTAATACATGAGGAGTCTATTACTTGTTAAGTTAGATAATACTCATTAGAATAGCATGGCACATAATAGTCAATGCTAGTGATTTTTGTTATTGTTAATAACACATCATGTGACTTTACTCTTTTGATGATATGGACAAATTATAATGATCTATCCCTACATCCTCTTAGGTAATGAAGAAATGAATATAATAGTATACAATATTAATGTATAACAAACTGTACTTTTGGAGAGTGGTTGCATATCTCTTAAAGCATCAAGTTTTTTTTAAAAAAATAACAATTTTCAATTGAAACCTTTCTAAAGTGGCTTATACTACTCACAAATAAGATAGTAAACATAATGCAACCTTCTTGGCAATTAAGCATCATGAAAACAATCATTTTTCTATAATTCTATAATGTCATTTAGGTATCTCAAGCTATTTATACCCTAAACAACCCCAAAGATCAGTATTTGAACTCAAGTTGCTGCTTATTGGTTTTCTTTGTCCTCAAAGACACCCTGATCTGCTGGCTACTCATTTTTGACAATGCCTGACAACAGTGGTCACCCTTCTCTATCCTGCTGCAGGTTTGAAACCCAAACACAAAAGCATTTTAGAATCACATAAAGAATGATTAGGCTGAGGGTATCAAAGAAGTCAGTTTCACAAAATGTGATGTGGAGATGCTATTTTGTCTTATCAGGTTAACGAGGTCTTTTTTTAAAAAAAATTGTTAAATAGTTGTGTTTTCTAAATGAAAGATTGCTGGGGAGCTAAGTTCTAGATGGATGAGATTTCTGGAATTTTTTAAAAAATATTTATTTATTAGTTTTAGGTGGATACAATATCTTTATTTTATATTTATATGGTGCTGAGGAACCCTGTGCCTCACGCATGCTAGGTGAGCACTCTACCACTGAGCCACAACCCCAGCCCCGAGATTTCAGGAAGTTTTATGTTATACATTTCACACATCTATTTTGTGGATCAGAATGGACAAAAAGCACAAGTTGGCTTCTTCATGAAGAGGCTAACTGCTGACCATTAATGGCTCATGAACGTGTAGCCCCCTTTGTTTGCACACTCCTCCCCACACCAGCCTGTGTCTTGCATTGCCCTTCAAAAGCCCTGCCAAGATGGCCTCCAGCTCGAAATCTGAGCAGAGTGCTGCAGTCTGCCCCCTCCCCCAACCACGCAGCTGCTGCTGGCTTAGCCCAAGGGACCCAGAGGCACACCCTATTCCAGCTGAGGTCTCTTTCCAGAGTAGTTTAGACAACTGAAGAGCATCTGGCCCAAGGCTGGAAGGATGCAGATTGGAGGAGGAAAAAGAATGAGCCACACTAGCATCTGCAGTGAAGAGAGACAGTGCAGTGGATTTCATCACTTTTGGGGGCCCCTCAGCCAGATGATTAGTAGTGAATGCAGCACAGTCTGATTGAAAGGGATCATCCAGAGTTATTGTTCTGCATAATCAATTTAGGTGGTAAGAGAGGAATTTTAAATGTGGTCCACCCATGATGTACTGTCATTCCTTATTCTCACTCTTTGCTTCAGCCACGTCTTTCTTTTTCTTTCTTACACCACATTTTAAAAATCCTGTATTATAAGTAATCTCTTTAAATTAGTTTAATGGAATATGTGGTTTTGGTGAGTGCATTCCAAAATTAGTTTGAGGACCAATCCTTTCAGTAAAGGATGCAGCCCTTTTAGTGAAAATGTTTATTTCTGGACCCATTGGGAACCACTGACTCCATATGTTTGGGAGTGGGCCCAAGGATCTTTCTAAAAGGCTTTCTGTGTTAGACAATAGTAGGGTCATCTAGACATCCTGTGCAAAAAACAACAGAAATTACAGCTTTTTTTAAAGCTCCTACTTGACCTTGGTGAGTCACTAGATTTAGGAACTACTGGTTTAAATATTTTTGTAAAGGAGATATCATAGTGGTCCAGATGACAGTAACAGTGAAACAGCTTTTTAAAAAGACCAAATATACCTTTCTTTTCCCTTGAATTCCAATTTAAGAAATAGATCTATCAAACTATAGATTTATATGCAGCCACTGTCACCTCCATCTCCCTGGGGCCAGACCCTTCCTGCTATTTAATTAGGCTATACTCCAATCTCATATTGGAGAGAAGAAAGCAGACTTGGCTGTTCTCCCTGGAGAGCATTAACCAGCAGTGATCCTGATTGTTCAGCAAGGTCTTTCAAGGAAAGCTTTGGCTTTCTAAGACTGGCCATAGTTCAGGTCTGGGACCCTGAGTACCCTCTAGGAGTGTTTTTACACATCTTTAGCACAACTGGGACTTTAATGGTAGTGTAGCAACCATGCAGGGATCAAAATTACCCTGTCAAAAATGAACAGGCCTTACACTTTCCATGCAAAGGGTGGCTGCATTTGGCTTTTGAAGACAATAGCCCTAGCTTTTTCTAATCTCTTCTGCCTGGTTCAGACTCTCATCCACTATTGAGTACTTATTTTGTCACCTTGAATCATTTTTTACCCTTTCAAAAGTGTCATAAGTTTTCTCTCCTCAAATAGGCTATCAGCTCTTTGGGGCAAAGAAAGCTTGACTTTAATGGGGCCTTCCTGTGTCCCTGAGAGGGTTACCAAGCTTGCAAAGGAAAGTGGGTCTACTACCAATATCTGCAGCAGAAGAGAACAGCTTCTCATAACTGCAGTGAAAGGGGTTGGGGTGGGGTGGGGTGAGAGGGCAGGAAAACAATGGCTGGATCTTACTAAGGAAGAGGGAGGCTTTTCACCTTGGTCAGTACTAAGACTGACAGAGAGAACAGTCAGAAGCTTTAGGACTTCTGGATATGTAGATTAAACTGTGAGCCCCACCCCAACCTTAAATCTCAAAGGGTAGGAAATAGCTCTCTGTTGTCTGAACTCCTCTTCCACACCTAGGGGTGGGTCCACTGAGTCTCTGAAGACTACAGCTGTCAGGAACAGCACTGCAGAGCTGCAGATGCTGCAATTTCTGTTGTTTTTTGTTTCTTGCACACCAGGTCGGATGATCCTACTATTGTCTAACATGGAAAGCCTTTTAGAGCAAATAAGCCAGAAAACACTAGCACTGCCTCCTGAATGTAGGGGCTAAAGCAAGCAAACAGAGTACCTGGCAAAGCCTAAGTCAGCTAACAGTTTGGGCTGTTAGCCTTTTTGTACAAATACTGGGCACTCTTTCCAGAAGACCACCTAGTTTAACCTTTGAGGCTTCTGGAAGAAGACATGAAGTCTTACATGAGTCTGATTAATTCACATCATGGCGGGGGGGGGGGGTAGGTGCGGGACACATAGTGAAAAGTTCACGTTACACATTTTGAAACAGAATTGAAGTATTTATTTGAGTAATACTATAATACGAAGCTAACCAAACAGTCCAGGCTGGCTTTCTTCTTTTATCAAAAGGAGTTCTTTGTAATGAATAGCAACTACCTGTACATCAATAATTCTTTAACTTCTTACTAAAAATAGTACTTTTAGGATATCATGCTTTTTCTCAGTTCTACTTTATTAATGTTCCCAAACCCTGTTAATCTTATCAAATGTAATGTATTCTAACTAGATTATTTCAAGTTTCCAAATTGTGGACATTCTATTCCAAGAACTCTTCATTGTACCTTGAGAATGAACCACACTATTTTGTTCTTTTCTATATTTTTCATTTGCCCTGCATCCTGCCTATGCCCTCTGTAGCCATAAACCTAGAAGGTCCTGTGTAGTAAAACTGAAGATGCAGTGGTCTTTGTTGGAAGGAAAGAGCCAATCAATACCTTCACAAGCGCTTATAGGGCAGGAGATGAAAAAAAAAATGTCGCCTATAACAAAGAAACCATCTCTGTGGTTTAGACGCAAAACTGTTAAGGTAATGATAATTTTTAAGTGGGACCTCACAGTTACTGAGGAGATTTTTTTTTAAGTGCCTAGCCATCCATGAAAGTAAAAATTTATGTTGTCCACTAGGTGACCTTTGATTGCAGATAACCAAGACTGGTGTGTTGGTATTGAAAAAGAAAAAAAAA